TGCGGTCCATGGCCCTCTACGGGGCCCCGGTGTGGGCGCGTGGTTTGGCGCGGCTTGCCGTCCACCACCTGAACGCGCCCCAAAAGGTGCTTGCCGTGAGAATGGTTCGCGGCTACCGCACGATCTCCCGCGAGGCAGCGTGCCTCCTTGCTGGATTGCCGCCGTGGGATCTGGAGGCGATAGTCCTCGCGCGCCTGCACGAATGGCGCGCGGAGGCACTATGCCGGGGGGAAACCCCGCTGCCGCGGCAAGTTGTCGTGCAGCGGACAGACTTCCAGCATGATCTCATGGCGACATGGAGAGAGCGACTGTCGCAACCCCGTGCTGGGCACGCCACTATAGCGGCGATAAGACCTCTCTTTGAGGAGTGGCTTGAGAGACGCCACGGCGTCCTCACCTTCCGCCTGACGCAGGTCCTCACCGGACACGGTGTGTTCGGGAGGTTCCTGCACCGAATCGGGCGGGAGGAAACGCCCGGGTGCTCCCACTGCGAGGATCGACCGGAGGATACGGTGGAGCACACCGTGGAGGTGTGCCCTGCCTGGGCGGAGCACCGCCGTGTCCTCGTAGCGGCGATAGGCGGCGGCGACCTCTCGCGTCCGGCCCTGGTCGAAGCCATGGTCCGGAGCGAGACGGAATGGGATGCCGTCACCACCTTCTGCGAAGCAGTGATGCTAGCGAAGGAGGTGGCGGAGCGGGAGAAGGAGAGAGCAGCAGCTTTCCTTCCCGGCCGCCGCGGGAGACGCCCGGGGCGTCGGGGGCTACGTCGTGGCCCCCGGCCACCGTAGGCGCGGGCCTGTGGACGGCGAGCAATGGGTAGCTCGCCGTCCGTCCGTCTAACGACGACAGGCCGTGTCGACGGCGCGTTTTGTTCCACGCGCGCCTCAAGGAGCTGTCAGCAGCGTGAAGGGGCCCGCAAGGGCCGACGCCTGCCGGGGCTGCGGGCTGTTCGAAAGAGATACCGCGGCTCCGGAACGTAAGGGCACTGAAGGAACACGGATGGTTTTTAGTCAGTAAAAGTCTGACACTCCCTTCCGCTCCACCCAGAGCGAAAGGCGTCATTTGATGATTTTCCATCCGCAAAAAAAAAATAAAAAAAAAGGTGCAATTACGTCATTAAGAAAAGAAGTATCTCTATTAGGATTCTAGTGGAAAAGGACAGAAAATAATCGCAGAATCCTTATGGAGAAACATGAAATACGATATCTTCGAATAATGTTTCTCATTAAAATTGCCGAATATCGCGCTCATGGCCGCCCAATCGTTTATACTAACGAAACATATATAGACATATAAAGAAAAAAAAAGACACGTCTCACACTTCGTCGAAATCTTATTCAGATGGAAGCACCTCTGGTTTAAAGAAACCAATTTCTATGGGAAATCGGTTAATAATAGTTCATGCCGGCGGAGAGGACGGTTTCATACCCAATGCCCTACTCATGTTCAAGGCAAACCAAAAAAGTGGTGATTATCATTATAATATGAACACCGAGAATTACACAAAATGGTTGCAAACGCAGCTAATTCCAAATTTAAAACCGAATAGTGTTGTGGTGGTTGACAATGCATCATACCACAATTCGTATCAAAATCCCGCGCCCAATTCAAACCATCGTAAACAAGCTATGATTGATTGGGTCAAATATCGAAATATCGATCACTCTAGATCGATGCTTAAACCATAACTTTATCAGTTGATACTACAAAACAAAGCAAGTTTTGTTGAATATAAAATTGATAATTTGCTCCAAGAACATGGTCACAGCGTTCTACGTCTACCACCCTACCACCCTGATTTCAAAATATTTGAAAATATATGGGCAATGGTAAAAGGATACGTAGCTAAAAAAACGCGATCACTGTACAAGAGTGGAAAAATGTTTGTGACCGTGCAGTTAAAGAAGAAAAAGCATTTGATGGTCGAAACGCCGCTATCGACGGTTTATCGGAGCGATTCATTATTAACACAGGCTCTGATGAGTCATCAGACGAGAGTGAAGATGAAGATGCAATGAGCGGAGAAGAAGAGTTATAATATTGTTATGTAGTTTATTACTGTTATTACTATAATTTAGGATAATCAAAATATCAGCATTAACTTTTAATAAAACATTGATTTTTTACTAACTGTACTTTTGGCGATCACTCACACAAATACAAAGCTCAGCTTACGCCGCGAGGACTGTATACCCTTATATTCGATAAGATGAAAATAAAAAGCAAGGTAGAATATGAACCATCAACTAAACGTTCATTCGGCTACATAGATTATGGTAATCAACTGGAAACTGACTGCAATAATGAATGCACAGAAGCACTATTTTAGTAGTCCCATTCAACGGAAGTTTCAAAGTACCAATTGGTTACTTCCTAGTCGATAAAACCAGTGGGGAACAAAAAGCTAACCTGGTAAATATTGCTCTTGGGCTGTGCCAAGAAAACAAAATTACTGTCAAAGCATAGACCTTCGCCGGCTGTCCAGCAAACATGGCAATGGCAAAGCAACTAGGATGCAAATTACAAAAAGAGCAGCTAAAGACGAGCTTTAAACGTCCTGTGACGAGTGCTAATGTTTTCGTATTTTTAGATCCCGTGCATATGCTCAAATTGGTCAGAAATACTTTTGAAAAATATAAAGAATTTCCAGATGAGAACGGCAACATTATACGATGTGATTATCTAAAATTATTACAGGAGCTCCAAGAAAAAGAGAATTTACACCTAACCAATAAATTACGCGCTGAACACATTTATTTTAAAACAAATATAATAAAAGTAAAATTAGCTTCACAATTGTTTAGCCGCAGCGTAGTTACAGCATTAGATTTTTGTCAAGTAGAGTTAAAATTGACATACTTTCAAGGAGTTGGTGCGATGATCCTACTCATAAACTATTTATTTGATATTTTAGATTCCAGAGTTCACGGGTATGGATACAAACGAGCTTTAGGGGGAAGTCCCGTAACGCCGGACGGCACCTAGCGCCGGACACTCGTACTATTTAAGCGAGTATAAATCTGTTCGATTCAAAATACAAGTGAAAGGGGCGCGGGGGCACACAGGTACAGGATCACGCGCCGCGCATCGCCAGTGACGCACACGGCCACGGCGGGAGCAACCGTTTGCTGTTTTAGGCGCGAAATCACGGCGTCACCTAAATATCAATGTAAGTAATTCTAGTATATTTATGCATTTACATTTGAGTGGTATGCAAAGATAAAAGTAGTACTTGATTGTTATCCGTAAAATGTTAGAATATTATTAGATCTTTTAAACAATTTTAGTAGGTACCACTTAATGAACGAAAATGTCTGTCCCTTAGCACCGGACACTAAGCCGTCCCTTAGCGCCGGACAGTAAACATATTGATATTTCTTGTGAGAATTTATGTCATTTATTCTAATTATTTAATTTTGTTTTAGAGTATAGATGAAAGAAGATATTTGAAATGGAAGAGAAGAAAAAGAAAGGATCCTGGGAGCCACAGAGCTTACAAACTGCTATTGATAAGGTTATGTCAAAAGAACTGAGTGTAAGACAAGCTGCAATGCAATACAATATTCCTAAAAGCACTATACATGATAAAATAAAGGCCCTAAATCGAGGAGAAGAAGTAACAATGAAACTAAAGTTAGGTAGGTTCACTAGCACCTTCTCAGCAGAGTATGAACAAGTCTTGGTGGACCACATTAAAGATTTATCGAATAGATGCATGCCGCTCATGAAAAAGGAGTTTCTAAAATTAGCATACGACTTAGCTGAAGTCATGAAGATTCCTCATCGATTTAATAAAGAAAAAGGCAGTGCTGGTAAACATTTTTACTACGACTTCATGAAAAGGCATTCTGACATTTCGTTGAGAGCACCGGAATCGACAAGCATGATGCGCGCCGTAGGATTTAACAAACCAAAAGTGGATCTATTCTACGACAACCTTGAAAAGCTGATGAAACAGTACAAATCTCAAGAATTTATAACTGTGATGAAACTGGTGTCAGTTGCGTGCACAAACATCAAAAAGTTCTCGCTCCGAAAGCCATCCGTCAAGTAGGTAAGCTCACTTCTGCTGAGAGAGGCAAAAACATCACAGTTTTGTTCTGTATGAGTGCTAACGGTCACTACATACCCCCATTTTTCGTATTTCCTAGACAAAGAATGAATGGAAGGCTTATGGTGAATGCTCCAGCTGAGAGCATCGGTGTGGCCCAGCCAAAAGGGTGGATGAATAGTGACTTTTTTTTTGCAATATCTAAGAATATTCGTCAAACACACGCAACCAACTAAAGAGAACCCTGTGCTGCTTCTAATGGATGGCCATTGCAGCCACAAGACATTGGCGGTAATCAATTTTTGCAGAGAAAATCATATTCACTTGATGAGTTCACCACCGCACACTACGCACAAGCTCCAGCCTCTGGACAGGACATTTATGAAGCCATTTAAAGATGCATACAGCCAACGATGCGACTTGTGGATAAGAACAAATGCTGGATGTCGGATAACGGATTACGACATTGCTGGTTTGGTCAAAGAAGCATTTATAAAAGTAGCTCGATTGGATATTGCAGTATCTGGATTCAAATGCACTGGAATCCATCCATTTGACAGACATTTATTTTCTGACCTAGATTATTTGGCTGCAGATATGACCAATATACCACTAGAACAAACAGAAACTTCATCGAACGCACTAAACAACTAACAAGCTGTCGTGATATCAAACTTAATCATAGAAGAGCAAATGAAAGAATCTGAACAATCTATTAGTGAGCCTATAACCACAAGTCCCAAACCGTCGACAAGTACTGCTCCCGATCTTGTTCAGATAATCCATAACTTATCACCGTTGCCTGACGCAGCAAAAAAACGAACAGCAGCTCGAAAAAGAAAGAGTGAACGAAGTGAAATTTTAACTTCATCGCCATACAAAAAAGTGGCAGAAGAAAAAGAACATGAAAGATAAAAAGAAGGAAATAAAATCTAAGTTTAAAGTAGCAATGGGAGGTAAAGGAAAGCAAACCAAACGAATTAAAACCAAAGGAAAGAGCGTAGACAAGGGAAAAGAAGCGACAAACGTGAGACCTAAAGGAAAGAAAGGAAGTGAAGTAGAACCATTAACTGAAACATCTAACACAAACATAACAATTTGCGTAGTTTGCTTAGAAGACACTGACGAAGACTGGATCCAGTGCTCATCCTGTCGTGGGTGGGTACATGAAGCATGTGCAGACATTCCAGAGTGTGGTGATGGCTTCATATGTGATCGATGCAGGTTATTTTGAAATGTCCGCTGCTAGGTGTATGGCACAAATATTCGTCCGGTACTAAGTGCCACTTTTTAAAATTATATTTTTTGTTACCAAAGTTTGATTGATAGTATTAATTATTTTTTAGCAGAGGTTGCATTTTTGTTAATTTAATTTGATTTCTAACTTTGTTATCTAATATAAGTCATAATTTAATAAACATTTCTTAAAATATTTTTTGTTTTATTTATAAATAACCTTAGGTGTCCGCCACTAGGGGACTTCCCCCTAAATTTCGATAATCATACTAGAATCTTTGATAGACTATAGGAATGCAAAAAGTTTTTGGTGACAGTCACTACAAAAATAACAATACGAAAGAATACACAACAAGTAAAATTGATAGTATCACCATGGTTTACTGGATTTCTAGGTTTCTGTGTTAAAATCGAAAGTACTAAAGGTTTATTTAAAGATTTAATTTGTGATGAAAATTGTCCCATAAGACCCTTACCTATGCACAAAATTTCACAGGATCACATAGAAATCTTTTTGCTAATATGAGATCATATGGTGGTTCAAATGACAACCCCACACCTCGCTTATTCGAAGCTACAAGGAATGCTTAATTCACACAGAATTATTACAAACGGTAACTGCATACCGTTAGAGAAGATATCAACTCTTAATTGTTTTTCGCCAATCACACGAATAAACTTGACCACTCACAGCCAAACTGAGCAGACTGTTAGTGATGACGATCATGAAAACCAAGAAGAATTTAATATTCGGATGGAAGCTGTCGAGCTTTCACAGTTTTCTGGGAATGTAATAGAATACATAGCAGGATATGTCTAGCTCACTAATTAAACTTGTACTTTTATGCTATATACAAAATATTATTCTGGGTTTGATGATCATGAACAAGAAACCATTGACCGCCAATCTATCAGCCTATAGGCGTAAAAGATACGCAGAACTTAAAATTGATCCAAAAATGTACGAAAGAGAAAAAGAACGACTACCGTATATAAAGAAGAAAGAAAAAGGACAAGTAATTCTAATTGATGAAAAATCGCCCAGAAACCAAAGGTAACCAAGGAAAAAATGGCATGAAGTATCAAAGAGTTACAGGGAAAATAAAAAAGGTAAGATAAATGAAACTAAGGTACCGGAAGTAGTAATTATTGAAAATCTGAACCTGGAAGACATATCAGTTAAAAAGACAACACCAACGACTACAGCTAGGAAGATCCTTTAAATTCACCTGCTACGAAAATAAGACACATAAGGTACAAAAGTACAAAAAACAAAAAAGACGAAAATATTAATTAGTATTATACAAGATTTAAGATAAGAAAATGAGTGTCTGAAAAAGAAGTTAAGAAAGATGACAATAGATAAATTACAATTAGTTACAAAAAAGATAGAGAAACGGGGTAAAAAAAACCGGCCAAGTGCGAGTCGGACTCGCGCTCCGAGGGTTCCGCACAAATCCGTAGTTTAAAATTATTAAAAATATTTTTATTATATGATGTAACTAAAAATTTATGATTTTCGCAATTTTTCCTTTATCTGTGCTACAAGACGTTGCTTCGTACCAAATTTTAAGATTCTGAGTTCACGGGAAGTACCCTGTAGGTTTTGATTCCCTGATTCCCTTGCGAATGTAGAAAATTTGCGGCATAAACGGCTGGATCTTTTGATTGCGTTGGCTTAGAAGTTTGATTTTTTCACAGCTCCAAGGGACAGTAGACTTAAGTATTTCATATGAATTTCAGCTTGATACCTCCACGCGTTCCTGAGAAAAAGGGTCTTGACAGACAGACAGACAGACGGACAACAAAGTCATCCTATAAGGGTTCCGTTTTTTCCTTTTGAGGTACGGAACCCTAAAAAGACACGCGTATAGCTCAAGAAACGTGACCAAGGCAAAGATTACCAATACTTATTAAGAAGTTCTTTGAACAAGATTCAAACAGCATAATTATTCCCGGCAAAAAACTGTACATCACTCGAAATAAGGTTCCAAAACAAAAAAGACAGTATTACAATTAAAACAATCACACAGCTGCATCGAATTCCAGTAAGTTATGACTTCTTCTGTAGGCATCGCCCATTTTAGGTAATCTTTTCTAACAAAGCACTCAGGGAAACTTGTGTCTGCATAATTTATAGCAATATAAATTTGACAGCTCTATGTTTGCATAAAGCGAACATAATAAAGGAGACCAATTTTGAACAGCTTTTAGAGTCCGTATTGTTCTCAATACAACGATAATTGTTTAAAAAGAGAATGCCCTTCATGCAAGGTAAATGTTATAGCTTATAACGAATTTTCGAATTATCAAAGCCTTACACTGTACCAATCGTTGCAAAGAAACTGTTAAGACTAAGTGTTTGAGACACGACGCTGCAGTCATCTGAGCGCACCTAATGCCGATGATTAAGCTTGCAATAGAGATAAATTTATCATTTTGTAGATACCATCCATTCTGAGGATGTGCCACTGGCTCTGCGTCAAAAATATGTATCTCCACTTGGATGGATGGCCTACTGCACTAGCTTTTACGTGAAATAATAAATGATATTAACTGAACTCTTTCTCTGTTCTTATTACCCTAAATTAAACATCCTAAGACTAAATGGCGCGTCTAAAGTGCATTTCTTTAACGACTAATAAGAAATGTTGTAATTGAGTTATAAATAACAAAATTTTACCATCAGAAAGATAATACGATGTAGAATAAAGTAATATAATAAAAAATGTAGGTAATAATAATAATAATAATAATAATAGTTTCTTTATTTGCTTAAAACATGGTATTTGTAGGTGGTACAGTAAAATAAGTACACATGTTTTGCTTATAATTAGCATACAAATTTAAGTTTATGTTATATACATTTAAAGTTACATTTATTTTCAAAAAAGGGTCAAATACATTCATAAAATTAATATTAACAAATCAATAATTATTAAAGCCTAAGGTCAATAAATTCTTTAATGTCGTACACTTTTAGTTCAATAAGCCACCTATATAGTCTCGATTTAAATAAATTCATTTTAAGGTTTTTAATGTCATTGGGGATCTTATTATATATCTTAACACACATTGCTACACAACTTTTTCTGAATTTAACAGATCTCGGAATGACGCTTAACACTAATCTATCCGGATTTCTTTTCAATCTAGAGTTTATATCTCTGGCTTTCTGGAAGAGCTCAGTATGACTTTTGACAAAGCAACTCATTTCAAAAATGTATAGTGCTGGCAACGGAAGTAAGCCCAGGCTCCAAAAAGATGCTCTACAGGACTCGCCCGGTGGAATCCCACATATGGCTCTGATGCATTTTTTTTGCGCTACAAATGCCCTTTGTCTCTCAGTACTATTACCCCATATCATCACCCCATAACGTAGAATGGAGGCTACATACGCGTGATAAGTGGTAATAGCTGTTTGCAAGTTAGTTACGCTCCTTGTTTTATAAAGAGCATAAACAAAGCTGTTGATACGCTTGCATAAGGTCTCAATATGTAATTTCCAGTTTAGATCCTGGTCTATCGTTACACCTAAAAATTTGGTATGTGTAATTTCTTTAATCTTTTCGATATTGAGGTTAAAATTGTGTTTATCATGTTTGGGTTTATTAAAATGTATGAAATTTGATTTATTTAAATTTAATTTTAGATTATTTTCCTCTAGCCATTTAATAATGTTGTCAATAGTATTATTAATTTCAATTTCATGGTCATGTATTGAATTATATTTATTTTTATCTGATGTCACAATTATTGATATGTCATCTGCAAACAAGATACATTTATGACCAGTCACTTTGGTTATGTCATTTATGTATAATATAAACATAAGTGGACCTAGCACACTTCCCTGAGGGATACCACACGTGGTATTTTTTTGGGTAGAAGAACATGTTATCAGTTCGCTATTTATGATTTTATTAACAGTGACGCACTGACACCGATTCCTCAAGTAGGATGATAGCCACTGTAGTGTAGGTCCTCTTATTCCAAACGTTTCAATTTTATTTAATAAGAGTTCGTGGTCTACAAAATCAAACGCCTTGGACAAGTCAAAAAAATAGACCTGTTGTTAGGTAACCTTTATTTAATTTTGTGAGTATTGTTTGCACAAGAGTAAATATTGCTAGAGTTGTCGACTTTTCTTTTTGGAAACCGAATTGATCTTTATTAATGATGTTGTATGTGTTGCAATAATTAAGTATTCTCAGGTGCATGCATTTCTCGAACACCTTCGATAGAACAGGTATAAGAGTAATCGGGCGATAATTGTTGACATAATTTTTTTTACCTCTCTTATACAATGGTTTGACGACTGATTGTTTTAATGCTTCCGGAAACGTACCAGATGAAAATGATAAATTAATTAAATACGTCAATACAGGCACTAGTTCATCAGTACACATTTTAATTATTCTTGTACTGATTCCGTCGAAGCCTTCTGAATTGGTGTTGTTCAAACCCATAATTTCTTTTTTTACTTCTTCTTTTGAAGTTGGAAGAAGAAACATCGTGTTTGGTATAATTTTGCTCTTAGTAGTTGTTTTTTGTGTCTTATTTGTCGTCAGATTATATGTATTAGTCAATTCAATAAAATGGTCATTAAAAGCTGAGGCTATGTCAAAAGGATTTGTCAACTGTTTTTTGTTTAAATTTATTGCATTTATGATATTGTCACATTTTAAGCCATTGATTTCCTTTTTTATTATATTCCATGTCGCTTTACATTTGTTTTTACTTTTATTTATATATTTTATGTGTGAAATCCTTTTGGCGGTATTAATACATTTTTTTAATACTTTCGAATAATTTATATATTTGATTTTATTGCTTGCTGTTTTTTTTTTTATAATAATTACATCTTAGTGACCGTTTAGTTTTACAGCTTGTTCTTAGACCTTTGCTAATCCAATCTTCTGTTCAAAAATCTGAGTTTTAAAGCAAAATGTTACAATTACTGGAAAAAATGATGTAAAAAAAAGCGATTTTTATTAA